TTCAAATACATGTCTAGCCCTGGCTGAATGCAAACCGAAAGCTCGCAACATACTTTGGCCACCATCAAACGAAATCGTCACCGGCAACCACTAAACAGCGTCTCTCTCTTTCTTTCCTCCGTCCGAGAGAAAAAAAAAGGAGGACCGATCGCGGGACGCGGAGTCGCGAATTTGCGGCACGAAATCACGTATGACGACGACGACGACGACGACGACGATAGTCGAGGTCGATATATAACGTGGAGCTAGTAAGAGTAGTAACAGTAACTAGCGCGCCCGCGGTGGCACGCGATCTTCCAGGGCCCCGGCCTGAGATGCGGAGATACCAGAAAGCCGGTCACGAAAGCTCGCCTTCTCGCTCTTACCTTTTCTTTTCGTTCCTTCGGTCGTCTTTCAGTAAGGAAGTCGTTGAATCGCCACGACTCGTCGTCATGAGTCATTGATTCGCGTAAGAAGCTACACCGGATACCATACTCATACTTACGGAAAGTCCAGGTCGCGCTATCGGCCGCAACATTGGGGCGTGCTCGCAACCCCCTCCGCCGTTGACAATAATTTGAATGCGGAAAATACCGAAAGAAAGAAACATATGCAAGTCTGTCAAGGTCGTCGTTAAAAGACCGACAGGACGATAATGCCGGACTGAATGTCCGTGTTCAGGAAACCACAGGGGAGATCTCGTACCGGTCCCCGTTATCGTAACTCGATAGGTTGGAAATAGAATCTTGAATGTGTATGCGATGGCTTCACATAAATTCTCTTTCTCGATCTATACGACAATAGGATTATAATATGAAAAGGAACACTAAAAATTTTACTTGAATAACCTACTGTTACTGCAGTCTATCTTTGATAAATTCTAAGAAAATATTATCCAAGATTTTATTCTGCAAGTTATTTTAATAAAAAATAATGTGAAAAGTAACACACTAAAACTTTACTTGAGCAGCCTATGGTTATCACATAGCCTATATTTTGTAATCAAGTTTTAATAAAATATTATTATTCAAGATTTCCTTCTACACTTTTTATTCCGATAAAAATAATATGAGAGAAATGTTAAAACTTTACTCGAACAATCTACTGTTAATGCAGTCTATCCTTTAATCAAATTCTAATGAAATATTACTCACGATTTTCTTCTACACTTTATTTTGATAAAAATAATCTAACAGAAGTGCTAAAACATTATTCGAGTAGTATAATGAAATATTATTTAAGATTTTCACTTATATTTTACTTTAATAAAAATAATATAAATAGAAGCATTAAAAAAAACTTTATTCGAGCACTCTACAATTATATATCACAGCCTATTTTTGGCGCAGTCAAGTTTTAATAAGATATTATTCAAGATTTCCTTCCACTTTATTTTTACAAAAAAGACGTTTACAGCCTAAAGTCATGAAATCATAAAATAAAAGATATTAGATTCGTTAATATTGATTTTATCTATTTTCGTTAATACTTACGAAACCTTCAAAAAATATAGATCATAGATGTTCAGACCTTGTCTGGATACCGAGTATGATCCAGCTTGCGTGATAAAAACTCACAATAAAAACCTTCTTATCAGTATAACATCCCTCTTTCGGTAGACTGATGGTTCTGATAGTTAACGAATATTTTATGTGCGTAGGAAACCGTCAGAACGACCAATGGCCAGTGATGGTTTGGTTCCATGGTGGCGATTTCAACACTGGAACTCCAGCGATCTGGGACGCCTCTGTATTCGTTTCCAAACAAAAGGTGCGACATTGCATTACGCGGAATACTTGCGAAATGGCCGGAATCTAAGATTGAAATTAACGTGACCTGGTCAGCAATCTAATCAATACCGATACAATCACGATATCTGGGAAGAGAGGATGATTAACGTGTATTTTTAACGGTGTTCAATCAATTCTCTGGACATTTACTAAGCGGACGTAAAATCGAAGGGAATCGAATCAGACCGAGCCTTTTCCTTTTCCTTTTCCTCATCTCGCGTGCTGTTACTTCTAGCATAGAACCGCACCCTTTGATATTCGCCCGCGATACATTATTAATAGAGCTTTCGTTATACATCTGATGGAATGTACATAATCGTTTACGGTTCTCAGGAACAACTCACCGCGGGGAAAAGAGAACGAATGATCGCTTGCGTGGCACAAATTACGAAACTAAAGTAAATCTTGAAACTTTCGGTAACGATTACTGGAGATTTTATCGCGCGCACGCTAAAAAAATGCAGAGAAAAGCTTTAACAATCCGCGAGATTAAACAGGGACGACTTTTGCGGCCGGCAGGTGCTAGTGGTGACGGTGGCGTATCGATTAAACATCCTCGGATTCTTCACGACGACGGACTCCGAGGCGTCCGGCAATTATGGCATGTTCGATCAAATCGCCGCCCTTGACTGGATAAAGCGAAACATCAAATACTTCAACGGTTCGCCCAATAATATTGTCATCTTTGGTCACAATTCCGGTGCCATAAGTGTAGGACTGCACATGCTGAGTCCTCTCAGTAAAGAGAAATTCCACAAGGCGATTGCTATGAGCGGGGACGCCATCAGTTCTGTTGGCACGCTAGAAAGAGAGAAGCCGATCGTTGACATTATAACCCATAGATTCGGCTGCGATCGACGACCGACCAGCAGGCTGATGGAATGCCTACGTAAAGTACAAATCAATATCTTAATCAAGCACTCATCTGACATCGTGAGCTGGGGTCCGATCATCGACGCAGAAATCAACAACGAAACGGACCCATTTCTTGCGCAAGATCCGAGGGACATCTTGGAAAATGGTAATGATAACATTATATGACTCTCTATAGGAGTCTTTAAAATTAGTTTAAAGATAAGTGGACATATTTAAAAAGCATCATATTGAGCTTAAGATCTTTTTTTCTTATTATAAAACTGCGTTTTATAATTTGACACTAATGTTTACTTCTATCTCAATGCAGATTAACTTTAATTATGATTTAATTTACCTTTTATCTTTCTCTAATTTTGAGGATTAGAAAAAGATAAAAAATAAATTAAACCGAAATTAACCGATATTAACGTTAACATTGGTAGAAATAAACACAAGGGAAAATCTTAGTACTGATTTAAAGATACGCGAAGATACTTTAAAGCATGTTCAAATGTTTTTTTGTTCTCTAAAAGTTTATTTGAATTCTTTCCAATATTCTTTTAGATATCCTTTCGATTTTTATATTTCTTTCGGTATAATTTAAATTTTCCTTAAACTTTAATAAAACAACGAATTAGATAACTTCAATGCGGTGCCGCTAATGGTCGGCTACACGAATAACGAGCAAGTTTTGGCGTACATGGAGGACAACAGTGATAAGTATCCAGAGGGCAAACTTTCTTCGGAGAACTTCGAGACGATGATCACAAACGAGTTCAAAGCGGCAGTGGAGATCTCGGATGACAACAGCACGTGTGAGTTGAAGCCCGAGATGGTGACAAACGCGGTGATATTCTTCTACAGACCATATCCAACCACGACAAACACGACGGTGTTCCGCGCCAGATACTTGGACCTGCAAACGGAAAAGAATTTCGCGGCTGGCCTGACACACTTGGCCGATAAAGTGGCGAAGAAAAAATCGACGGTTTTCGTATATCGGTTTGACTATCGTCCCAAGACACAACCGATCGCGAAGGACGTGCCGGAATGGGCCGGTGTGCCGCACATGTTCGAGCTCCCATTCGTTTGGGGTTTACCGCACATGACGGGCGTCGGTGGGACGCAATGGAACTTCAACGACAAAAGGATGTCCGAGTCGATGATGACGATGCTGGCGACGTTCGCCAAAACCGGGGATCCTTCTTTCGTGGAGAGGACAGTATCGGTCAAGTGGGAGCCCTATACGCAGGACAATCCGAGAATTCTGATCATCGATAAAAATATCGAGATGAACGAGCCGGGCGCAGTGGATTACAAGGCGTTCGCATTCTGGAACGAATATTATCCGCAGGTCATGATGGAGGCAATAAACAATTGTTGCAACATTACAAGCACGGCGACGACATGGAGAATATTCTCTCATAGCGTGTGTCTCAGCGGCGTGATGGCTACGGTGGCGTTTCATCGCTTTTGGTTCTAGCTACGGTCACAGCGTGAAATATTAAATACTGAATTTAAAAAAAACGTGTTATTGCGCTCGCTGTTGTATATTTTTAATAGACCAATAACGAAAGAAAACGAGACGATGTTGTCGGATTTTGCAATTTTATAACAAGATCTCTTCCCACACTCTACTTTTTAGAAGCAAACGCAGTAACAATCTTGTTATACTCTTGTAGAATACATATCTCGCGAAATTCGCATCTTCTTGTGTAAATAGATTCGTACGTTCCATGATTGTTTTACAATTGTTGTACGCATTTAATTGAGATTTCTCGCACTCGTATGTCTGTATCTATTGCGATATGGCATTAGAAAATTTTCCTATGTTCGCATTTGTTATCTCAATTACATTGCGTATATCACAAAGTTATTTTATTCCGTTCTTCTTATCTTACATGTTACTTGATGTAGATTTATACGAAACAAGGAGAAATTATCTACAGTAATCAGGCAAACGGCAGAACATAGTTCACAAACGAGACAAAGGGGGCTCGGAATGAAATAAAATGAAATCCAGGTTGCATTACAAGAGTAGGAAACTTGGGCCCTTTTTTTTAACATTCATTGATTTTTTTATTTGCCTTAATACGGAGAGATATAGAAAAACATACTTTGTTTGAGAAACAAACAGTTCGATAACTTATGAATATTTTGATGATCCGATAATAATAATTAATATTAATAATAATAGCAATAATGTTCAAGTACCATCTATGTATAATTATTATATTATATAAGAGAGAGAGAGAGGTGCGCGGCGAGAGCGCGATGCATGGGGGCTGGTGGCCTGCGCACGCGCACGTCCACAAACGTTTCTTTTTTTCTTATCTCTTCCTTTCTCCTAAATATATACTATTAATTAATCATTTTCCCCTTCATTTATTCATGCAAAATTCCTACAGTGATAACCGATGCTTGCGGGGTCTCGTATCCTACTTTGTGCGCCGTTGCTTGCGCGTGCACACGAGCCATCCCGGAACCAATGTTATATACAATATTTCCTTCCGCTTATCGCTGCGTTCCTTTGCACGTATCTCTTCGTTCTTCGCTCCGCTGCGTTACCTTGTGCCCTTATATCCCCTTATTCTCCCGTCTCTCTACCATCGTCTTACAACCATTCGGATTTCAGTACCGTAGACTCCCGTTTTACTGTCGCCTAATATTCCGTCAGCCCCCTCCTCCTCTTTTGTCATTAGTATCTTCCTTGTTTTATAACCGCTCCGGTCCTTTTTTTTAATCCACTGGTATCCTCGGATTTTCATGTAGGAGAATATGGGCTCCGCCACATATACCTTACAGAAGTAGGCACAGCGATTTCTTCTTCTGCTTCATCTTCTTCTCTGGCGATTTCTTGTTTATTTGTCGCACCAAGTCGTAGAAAATCTGAAAGCGAAAGATGACAAGTTATTAAAACTTAACTGCGTCAACTATTTATCGATTAGAATACAACATTATTAGCATTGTACAAAGTATTGCGAGCTAATTACTTTTATTAAAAGATAAGACGAGTAATGAGATTGTAAAATACGACTACAAAATGCTGCTTAAATCAGAATAAATGAAATTGAGAGTCACAACTCACATCGCGAACATTAATTTTAGCTTTGGCAGAGGTCTCCATAAACACGCAATTGAATTGCCGGGCAAGGTTGACACCCTGATCCTTTCCTACTACCCTCTCATCTTCCAGGTCGCACTTGTTACCTACTAGCACCATCGGCACATCATCTGTGTCCTTTACTCGCAAGATCTGTTCTCTGAGATCTTGCAGGTCGTTGAAGGTTGATTGTGCTGTTATCGAATATACTAACACGAAGCCCTGCCCGTTTTTCATATAAAGGTCCCTCATGGCTGTGAATTGTTCCTGCGAACAGACAAGAATATGATAACGTCACTCAAAAATGCAATCTGTATTGTTACAATCATAAAGTAAAAGAGAAAGTTACGCGACGCGTTAAGAGATAAATGAAACAACATGTCTTTGTAAAGGCTACTTCATAAAGACTTCCACATTACGTGAACAAAACGGACAGTAGAGAAAGAAAACAAGTCAAAATTAACACTCAGGCTAAAATAAATAAAATCAATTTCTCGTCTAACGGTATATCCGCGTATTCGAAATAAAGAAACAGCAGATATGTGTTAAGAGGGAAGATACTTACCGTGCCAGCTGTGTCTAGAATTTCTAACATACATTGTTGACCGTCGACCTCGACTTGCTTGCGGTAACTGTCCTCGATCGTCGGATCATACTTCTCTACGAAGATTTCCTGGACAAACTGGACAGTGAGGGCGGACTTGCCTACACCTCCACTGCCCAGCACCACTATTTTATATTCGCGCATCTCCTTGCCCTACCTACTGCCTATGGGCCTGATCACAGTCGAGGGGTCACCGAATCCGCCACGTTTTGCCTTGATTTGCTCTCAGTGAGACGGACCTGAAACAACAACATGCAACCGTCTAGTTAGAGGCCGTGAACATTACACAATGGGTTAATTTTAATGACACACCTTCTTCGGGACGACTCAGCCTTTATGACTCAATGCTTTTTATGCGGTGATTTCATGCGAAGTAGAACAGAGGTCATATATGTGATTATCATAAATTACCAGGATTGTTATATGTATAGGAAGGCAATCATGTTCTTCCGTGAAGAATAATAATCTCCACAATTTCTAATATTATATCGGTCAAGGACTTGTTTCGTTAAATAGAAAAAGAGAGCTATTCATAAAGATATATTGAGAAAAAAGTGTTTGGTATCTGCGACTATAATTTGTGCTTATAATTGCGTGGTAAAATAATTATAGTTAAAAGCTCCATTTTTATGGTTATTACTGTTATAATGTTAGTAATAATAATTATATTTAAAGTTCTATGTTGTACAAAAATAATATATAATTGACATTGTAAATGACTAATTATAGTCATTTATGATGCCAGCTATATATTTTTTGTGTGTCATAAAGAGATAAACATTTAATTCTTTGTATTTAAATTTTTTTAAAAAGATGGCTCAATTTTGTGCCATTATTGTATTTTGAAGCGCACCATTATAATTTTAAATTTGAACTTTATACTGCGCGATCTCGTGGAAAGTTTCCTTTTTCAAGCTACTACTTAAAGCTGAAAGCTGCTGATATCATGCAAAATTCTGACATCCGGAAACGGAAGCGGTATAGTTAATTATTTCACGGGAAAGTAGTAGCATTTGCTCCACAAAGTCACGCGTTGCTCCCCTTGTCGTGTTTTGCTTCGCTGAAGAGCGTTGTTTCACGCGATGAATGACAGAGTAAGAGAGAAAATGCGAATACCGCGAATAGGATGTTGATTGGTTAACGGTGGCATCATGGCGACGCGCTGCGGCCAATCGACGACCGCAGAATTCTTTGCGCCAATTCGTCATTGATTTACCTTATGAATGGACCTGTACAATGAAAGCTGCTGCTACTCTAGGACTTTCGTTGGAACGTTACGGTGTTTGATAAAGTTATCTCGAAGGCGTAATACTGCTAAAATGAATTTAAAATTTTACAACAATAAACTACTATCGACATCTTTTATGTGTGAATTTCGAAAAAATTTCTAAAAACTGCGCATCGCATTGTCAGATTTCATTTGCGTTTCTACAATTTCAAACAATTAAAAAAAAATTTTATTCGACTTTTGTATTTTTCGATTACTGTTTACATAGGTACATGTATGATACATCGAACGTTTCAAACCCGTATTTAATTTCATTTTATTTATTGTTATTTACTTTGCAAAAAAATTGAATTTTGTTAACTAGCGAACGTAACGAATATTTGTGAATATTTAACATGAGAGAAAGATATGGCGATGTGCCTTCTATAATTTTGTATAAGGTATTATTCCGACCAGGTTGATCGTGAATAAATAATTCGCCGAAATGTCACTTGACAAATTTAAAATCGGTTATCTATTTTCGAACAAATTGTGTCGTACGTCACTGCGACGGCGAACCAACTTCAAATTTAGTTCTCAAAGATACTCGTATAACAATCACTTCGGAAAAGGATGGAGAAAGAGAACGTTTTTGCAGGAATAGAATTTCAAAGTTTCTCAGTATTTTCTTGGACAACACACGACTCCTTTGTCTGGTCTTTACAAAATGAGATTAACCATGATTACAATGTTTTAAGAAAAATGAACACGTGAACAAAAAATGAGAACCCGTGGAAAGGAACACGCACGGCAGGAAATAACTTCGTTATCTTTTACGAGTGTATCTTTCCCGGGAATGGGGAATAGCTCTCAAGCTTTCTTTTTTTCCACGGTTTTTCCTTGCTCTCTCCAAGGTATATGCCGACCATGTTTAATTTCTCGTCAACTTTTCTCCATTCTCCAGGCAGCTCGCGGTAGTGTTGTTCTTCTACAAGTTCATTAACAAAGATCAAACAGTATCTATAATAACACGGCGACGTGCTGATACCATGAAACATCGATCTTCGATTTTGCGAAATAATGCCTTGAGAGAGATACACGCGTCGCTCGTTTATAGCTTCTCGTTATAATGTATTTACATTTCACAATTTCGTTAAATACATATAGGGCAATTAAGTGCATCGTGAATTAATGGAGGTCGTATAAAAGCGAACAGCACGGGCAACAAGTTCGAGAAGGAGTATCAAGTGGATCGAACTTTCGATGTTTCTCTAATACATCTCTGCGGTCAAGTCACAGTTCTTATATTCAAGACTATCTTAAATACAGTCTTGAGATATTGTAAACCAATCACAGAGCTGTATTAGCGACCTAAAAGACATTACTTAAGACAGTTTTGTAACAAGAACGGACTATGAATACCAGTCCGCGATTGCAAAAATGTCGCACACAAAGGATACGTTCCGTTTTCAACATGTAAGCATCAGTTCATTCTTGTTTATCAAATATTAAATAAGGATAAGTGATGTTTACAAGCCCTGTAAGCACAAAACGGAATGCATTCAAAGTTGCAACATACGGGCACACTAATGCCTAAATTCTAAGCAGAATCGTAAGACTCGTAAAATATTCTTGTAAGACTTGTAAGAATTTTTAAACGCTTATACCTTTATACAATATTTTCACAAATAGCTTCTTACTAATCATAAAATTGACAAGGAATCGTAGATATTTACGAAGAATCGTACGTCTTATGACACATACGCATAAAATTAGGATACTAATCATAAGTTCTTACAAGTTTTATGAGAACACGTTACGAGTCTACGTCAATTCTGCTTAGAATTAACCCATAAAGCTCTAGATATACCAAAATAGCGCAAAGATCTTCCGATTTACTAACCATAGGTTTGTTCGCGTTGCTTGAAATCCCCAAAAATGTTTGCACTTAAAATGAAATAGATATATATTTGGCCTTGAAAAGAGAGAAAACGAAGATGCCAAATGCAAGCAACGCAAACAAGGCCCATATCATATTCCAATAATACTAAGTGCTTATTGAATGATAGACAACTAGACCGAAAATGACGGTCGAAATAGCCAATAGGAAAGTTGTCGGTATTTCGACTCAGATAAAAGGATTGCGCTACTTTGATATATCTAAAGCTTTAGTGCACACACACATACATCCACAAACGTTTAAATACAGACTAGAGGAAAGTTCGCCAAAATTCTGCTGACCTAGTTATTTCGCGTAGAACAACGCGAGTAAATCTTTGCGTTTCCCGTTTGAGATTTAAGATTCACCAATAGAGAAATCGAGGAGTCAGCCCTCCCAAACACGTGCAACGTGTGTATTCAAGACAAGAAAAGAGAAACCCCAGCCGTTTTGCGCCCCGTATTCATTCCTCTCGAGGGATAAGGATAAGCACCGTATGGTTTACTTTGTTAAGGATACCTGAACTCTCCATGCAACATGAGAGATTCGCAGAAACCGAGTAATTCTGACGAACTTATATAGACAATATATAAACGAAAACGATCTCTATGTTCTCTTGACATTTTGTATTTATGATTCGAGGAAGTTTATCAGAAATTCATTGGTCCGTAAATTCTGAATTCCTGACCATTGACGAGTTTGGAGATGTCAGACGGTTGCTTTTTAACCTTCCATAGCATTAACGCATTTTTCGATTAGAGATCTTGAAATAAGAGTTTGGATACTCGAGATAAATAGGGCGGCAATATTTGACTCTTTATTGTAGAGTATATAGATTTTCGTAAGTTTTACGTGATCCTATACTCTCTGCAATGGCATCATATTTGAGAGAGGGTCTCTATTTTCGACTGACGTAATAGATACAGACTACGCATTGTCTGATCTTAGCATCTGTACTTCATTAGAAAGAACTGAATCATATCAGCATGTCTCTTTCTTGAGATATGCTGATATGATTCAATTCTCAACTCTGTCACCATCTCTCTTCAATTCAATACTTGAGAGAAAGAAAGGGCGATATATGATTCAAGTTATCTCATTCTTTTTAAACTGATGGTGACAACTTCAGGAATGTGCAGTTTATTCTTATTGTATCTACATGCTTTCTATATCGTGCTTTCACTTATTGATTAACTCGTTTTCCGTTTCTATTACGTATATCCGACCAGTTTCTATTACGTATATAAACGTACCAAAAAGAACTTGATGCGTATCTTACGAATGATGCGAACTGGTCGAATGAACTTTGATCAACCTTCGTCTTTGACTTTAATTAAGTATATTACTACCTAGGAGATGTCAGTCCATGACAATTAAAGCCGCTAAACGCGGGAATTAGAAAGCAAGGCTTCTCGCGAAGTTTCTCATTCTCGTGAAGTATTTATTTCTGCCGACAGAAAACGCAACTCGCGAAGATGACTGTTGCAATCGTGTCATTTTTCGAATGCACTCTGCATTTTTACTACTATTCGCATATAAATAACTCGTCATTTATCATTTATTATTTCCGAATCATTCAGAGTAAAATTTCGAAGTCTTTCTCCGCTCTGCCTTCTAATTGTGGAGGTCACATCGTTATATTTCAAAACCTAATCTTCTAAGAGAAATACTTACACTGAGAAAAAAATGCTGTTGATTCAATTAAAGTCTATATTACGGGCTGTCACTAACATAAGTGATTAATTCATGTATATTTTTATTGACATAAAGGCATAAATTATTATTTCAATAATCAAGGCCTTTATGTCAATAAAAATATACATGAATTAATTACTTATGTTAGTGACAGGCCGTAATATAGACTTTAATTGAATCAACAGCATTTTTTCTCAATGTAAAAATTTGGAATCAACTTAAGATGGAAAGATTATAAGATATTTCAAGAATATAGATTCGAGAAGAGAGACGATCGCGTTCTTGACTCCGCAGATGTCTTGGACTGAGCTTTCTCATCGATTCACTGCTCACTTTTACCAATTTCATGATCCTCTTACGAATTTATCGGAATGGAACGAAATCGACCTTATTTATAA